CCTTGATCCATGCGGCTGCCCCACATTTTCTGTGGCCGTTTGCAGTCCGGTACGCCGCGCATCAGCTCAACCTCTGGCCCCGTGTCTCCGTTCCGGAGACCTCCCCGACACTGCGTTGGACGGGAGCGGTTGGCGATGCGTCTGTGTTCCGTGTCTGGGGATCTCGTGCCTTTGTTCGCGATACGTCCGCGGACAAGCTCTCCTCCCGTGCCGTTACTTGTGTCTTCTTGGGCTTTGTCCCTGACGCGCCTGGCTGGCAGTTTTACCACCCCACTTCGCGCCGTGTCTTCCCCTCTCAGGACGTCTCGTTTGACGAATCGGTCCCCTTTTACCGTCTCTTCCCCTACCGCACTGCCCCGCTCCCCCCTCCGCCGCTCTTCCTCACGCCAGGTGCTGCTTTGGTAGACCCCCTGCCTCCGCAGGGTCCTGCTCCCTCAGGTGTTTCCCAGGTAGACCCGGTCGAGCCTGTCAAGGTAGCTGTCGACTCTGGTCCTGCACAAGGTACTGAGCGTGCTGAGCCTGAGCATGCTGAGCCTGGTGGTGCTGGGTCTGGGGGTACTGCGACTGGGGGTGCTGAGCCTGGGGGTGCGGAGACTGGGGGTGCTGAGCCTGGGGTTGCTGAGTCTTGGGGTGTTGTCCCTAGGGTTGCTGAGTCTGGAGGTCATGAGCCTGGGGGTGCTGCGCATGGGGGCGTTCTCTCTTCCCAGTAGCTGCGTGAGTGGTACTCTCGGTACTATCGCCGCCGCCGTGGTGCTGTGGAAGCTGGAGGTGCTACTCGAGCTAGAGCTAAGGGCGCTGAGCCTATTGGAGCTGGAGTTGTTGCTGTCCCTCGGGTTGGCGCTGGAGGCGCTGGAGCCACTGGTCCTGGAGGTGCTCGTACTGGCGGTACTGGAGCTGCTAGGACTGGGGGTGCTATTGGAGCTGCTGGAGCTGGTCCTCCTGGAGGTGCTGCTGGTGCTGCTGGAGGTACAGGAGCTGCTGGAGCTTCTGGTGGTGCTGCTGGTACTGGGGCTAGTGCTGCTGGAGGTACTGGTGCTGCTGGAGGTGCTGCTAGTGCTGGTCGTGCTAGAGGTGCTGCTGGTGCTACTGGAGGTACTGGAGCTGGTCGTGGTGCTGAGCGAGTTGGAGCTGCTGCTGGAGGTTCTGGTGCTGTCTCTGCTGGTTCTGGGGGCACTTCACGGCCACAGCCGTACTCCGTTCCCCTCCTTCAGCAGGATCTTGGTCAGCCGCCTCCTCCTTGTCCTGCTTTCTCCTTAGAGTGTCCTCCGCCTCTCCACTCGCTGTCAAAGCTACCACCTGCCTCGCCACTCCCTGGTCCTTCTCCCTACACTGGTCCGACAGGCGGTCTTATGGAGCGTCGTGAGCCTCAGTCTCGTCCTGTGTCGCTTGAGTCTCGGTCTGCGTCACCTGTTCGTGCTGCTCGCACTGGTCGTCGTGTCCCGCGTCAGCGTCCTCGTGCTGTCCCAGGCACTCACTAGATGGCGCTTCGTCCTTCCACTGCTCCACACCGTGTCGCGCTGCCTTCTCTTCCTGCGTCCTCTCTTCCTACCCTTGCTGACCCAGAGTCTGACTCTCTTCGTGTTGCTAGTCCTACTGTCACGCGTCTCCTGGCCACTGCTGTCACTGACCCTTCCTTTGAGTCTGCTGTTGCGTCTGCCTTAGTTGCTGAGCTTGTCGACTTTGCTGCTCACTATCATCTAGACTACGCTGCGAGTCTTGCTGCTGAGTCTGAGTCTGAGTCTGTCTGTCCTCCGTCCATCGGGGGTGAGTGTGCTCTTGGGACGGACGTCCTTGAGGACAGGCAGGAGGAGTTTGAGTGCTTTGCCGCTGGTGTACCTCATCTCGTGTCCATGCTGATTGCACCTGAGGGGGACCCGGATGCACCAGACATCCTGACCCCGCGCTCTTACGCTGAGGCGATCGCGGGTGAGTACTCCTATCAATGGCAGTCAGCCATGGACGCAGAGATGGCATCCTGGAAGTCCGCGAGCACTTGCGTCGACAAGGTTCCCCCTCCTGGGGCGAACATCGTCAGTGGCATGTGGATTTTCAGGGTGAAGTGGCCGCCAGGTTCTCCGCCTGTCTTCAAGGCTCGTTACGTTGCTCGAGGCTTCATTCTGCGAGAGGGAGTAGACTTCTTCTAGACCTTCTCCCCCACCCCGAAGATGACCACTCTTCGGGTGCTACTGCACGTTGGCGCTCTGCGTGACTACGAGCTTCACTCTCTTGACTTCAGCACAACTTTCTTGCACGCAGCCTGCACGAGGAAATCTGGCTGCCCCGCCCTCCTTGCTTCACTGGGTCGTTCCCTCCTGGTACCCAGTGGAGCCTCTGGCGGCTGGTCTACGGTCTCCGCCAGGCGTCACGTGAGTGGAATGACACATTTAGGACTACACTTGCGGCTCTTGGGTTCACGCCTTCTACTGCTGACCCGTCGCTGTTTCTGTGCACCGACACTTCGCTGCCGCCGTTCTACATCCTCGTGTACGTCGACGACTTGGTCTTTGCCACTGCTGATACTGAGGCTCTCGCCCACGTGAAGTCGGAGCTGCAGAAGAGACACACGTGCACAGACGTGGGTGAACTGCGCAGCTACCTTGGCTTGCAGATCACCCGGGACAAAGCATGCCGCACCATCACACTAACTCAGTCACACATGGTGCAGCAGGTCCTTCAGCGCTTCAGCTTCACCTGGTCCTCGGCACAGGCCACTCCTCTGGCTACAGGTCACTCGCTCTCAGCTCCACCTTCGGACGAGTCCGTAGAGCCGAGCAGTCCTTACCCAAAGCTAGTTGGTTGTCTCATGTACTTGATGACTTGTACTCGTCCTGACCTCGCGTACCCTCTTGGCCTTCTGGCTCGCTACGTGGCTCTTGGTCGGCACCGAAAGGTGCACATGGATGATGCTAAGAGGGTACTGCGCTACTTGTGCAGTACATCAGGCATGAGACTCGTGCTTGGAGGGAGGAGCTCAGTTGTCCTCACTGGGCACTCAGACGCTTCTTGGGTTGACGACCAGGCTACTCAGCGGTCGTCACAGGGTTACACATTCAGCCTTGGCTCTGGTTCAGTTTCTTGGCGTTCTACACGTTCGTCTTGAGTTCTCAGCTCTAGTTGTGAGGTTGAGATCTACGCCACAGCCATGGCTGCACAGGAGTTACGTTGGCTCACCTACCCGCTGACTGACTTGGGAGAGCGGCCTCGTTCTCCTCCAGTGTTGTACGTCGACAACAAGGCTACCATTGCTTTGTGTGAGGAGCAGAGACTTGAGCACAGAACAAAGCAAATTGCTCTGCGTTACTTCCTGGCTCGAGAGTTGCAGCAGCATGGTCAGCTTCGTCTGCGTTACGTGGCCACTCGGGCCAACACTGCTGATATATTCACCAAGGCACTTCAGTCCGGTGATCATCTGCGTTTCTGCACTATGCTAGGGCTTGTGCCCACTTTTCCTCACTTGTTGTAGGCTTTGCTTGTATTGTGATATATATATATATATATATATATATCTAACTGCATGCTTGCTTTGCTAGGTAGAGATCCCTGTGCTGTTTGTGTTGCATATATGCCTCTGCATGTGGACTGGCCTTGTGGCCCTTTGCTTGTGCTCCGAGTGTGTGGTGACGTTGTGATCCACCTTGAGCTTGCTTTGCTTTTCTTGACTGGTCTTGTGACCCCTTGCTCTCCCCCAGTTTGCCTATTGGGGTGTGTCAAATGTCATATCTGCAGTAGTTTGTTTAGGCTGTAGTGGGGTAGTTACTATGGGGTACAGTAAGTTTAGGGTTTCCTACTTGTACCCAACTCTTTCCTAGTGCAATCACTCTTGTTCATTCTGACACGGCAGAGGATATTGCATGATCTTGTGGCTCCCTGCCTTTTGGCTCACTCTACTTGTTAGTCCATTGCAAGTAGAATTATCATGCATTGATATAAAGAACACAATGGAACTGCCGTGCGGAACTATTCGATATTCACTTTTAACGGATCTCGCAGTTGAGTTTGTTTCCCGCCGAACAGGGCCCAGGTGTCACACCCAAGGGAGAGTTTTGCCAGCCAACCACACGGCGCCACTGGCGCTGGCACGCCATTCTCCCATCCCATACTCCGCCTTGTCCCCACGAAGCGCTGCGAGTCTGCGATGCTTGGTTGCGGTGCGGACGAATTTCGCATGTCGATGAGGCGATGTCCCAATCCAAGGCCGTCAGATCTGTCTGTCGACCTTGGCGGCAGGTGGGTCAGGCTTCGCTCAATCTCGGTTCAACAGAAGCGGTGGTGTGCGATGCTGTGCACTCTGGAGCTGTATGTGAGTTTCAATGGTTCAAACTGTTACGCACCAATCTAAAACATGGAATGGGAGGTTTCACTGCATGCTATTTCGGGTGAAACAAGGGGCGAGAGGACAGCAGCGCCGCTACGATACGAGGAGTGGAGTTGGTTGGGCTCTGCCTCTGCTGCCCTCAAATAGGTATCCTTCCCCTTGGTCCCTGACACTCCATTCAGCCTCCACCAGCAACCCTTACCTGCAACTGACCTCCCACCAGCACTACACCCACGCGCTCCTCGCTATCTTGCGCGAGCCAGGAGTCCTGAAAACGCGCTGCACTGCTGGAAACGCGCCATAGTGCCGATAACGTGCCGTAGTGCTCATAATACGCGCCGCAATGCTTGTAACGCGCCGCAGTGCTGACAACGCGCCATAGTGCCGAAAAAGTTCCATAGTGCTTAAGAAACGCGCCGCGATTTTTGTAACAAGCCGTAGTGCTGAAGTATGCGCCGTAGCGCTGTGAGCCGTTGTCAGGCTGCGCGACAGCAGTCAGCGCACCACTAGATTCGCGTTTTACCCACTCCTGCGCGCCGCGCTGCTCACTAGCTTTCGCGACTCGCAGCCGTTCCCTTAGTGGTGACCGTGACACCTAGTCCGCGTCGGCCACGTGGCAAGATTCACGCGAGTTCTGCAGCGCAGCAGGTGCGCGGGCCCGGTAGAAAGGGGTGCGGGGAGGCGCATGGATGACGCCGGCGCGACACGCCCCACATGGCAGCAAACGGTGGCGACAACTCGACGGCGAGTCGTCGCTCGTCGCTGGCGGCGCGAAACGCTTCTCGCGACGCGGCTCACTCACGCGCGACCCCGCCGCCTTCTCCATCCGTTACTCGCGCTCCCCGCCGTTTTCCTTCTCCTCCTCGCGTCGCCGCGCGCGCTCGTGCGATCCCGCGTTGTGCTATCCGGGGACGCCAACCTCCGCCTGCCCGCGACCGCTGCCGCGAGAGGCGCGGCGAGTGGCGCAGGCAGAGCGGACGCGGCGGCATGGCCGTCCACCCGCGAGGGAGCCCTCCCAGGGAAACTATTCAGTTCCGCCACCACCTTAGGCTCGGATTCGGATTCGGCCATAGAATTAGGCTCGGCGGCTTCCAGGCGGGTTGCCTCGCGCGCGCCGTGGGCGGCGGCGATCGCGAAGTCGCTGACGCGGAGAGGGCGGGAAGACGGGGAAGGGGGGACGGGAGGGGAAGACGAAGGCGAAGGGCGGACGTCGCGCGCGGGGCGGAAGCGAGAAGCAGTTGCGGGGACGGCAGGGCCCATCGTGCTGCCCCTGCAGCGGCAGGTGCGCCGAGCGCACTCGCGGGAGCGGAAGACGGGCGGAGGCGAGCGTTCGGGGGCAGAGGAGGCGCCGCGAGCGGGGGGAGGCGGAGAGGGAGGAACGCGGAGGCGGCAGTTGCGGGGACTGCCGCTTGAGCTGCGGGGGTCCGTTCTGGAGCTGGGGTGAGTGAGTTGCGCGCAGGGTGAGTGGGGCTGCAGTGAGTGACTGGCGGGTGCAGAGGCGTGGGGCTAGGATGAGTGGGGGAGACAGGGCAGGGATGGGGGAGTTGAAGTTACAAAGGTGGCGGCGGTGATGGGGTTTAGCCTTCAGCTGCTGCTCATGCGCCTCCATTCCTCGGATACTCTCCCACTCACACACCCTAGCCTTCTCTTACCCACAGTTTTGTGCACCATTTCTTTCCTCGCCCCACCATTTCTTTCCTCGCCCCACCATTTCTTTCCTCGCCCCACCATGTCTTCAACCCCAAACCCGCCCCACCTTCATGCGCCCCTCCCATCCCTCCCCTCCCCCAGGTACTACTACGTGACGCTGTACCTGGGGTGGCCGCCACAGCGGTTCGCGCTGATAGCGGACACGGGCAGCAGCATCACCTACGTGCCCTGCGCTGCCTGCACGCACTGCGGTAACCACCAGGTGCGACGCGGTAACCACCAGGTGCGATGCGGTAACTATCAGTTGGAGGAGAGGAGTTTGTGTGGGCACTGGTGGGCGCGCAGCACTGGTGGGCGCGCAGCACTGGTGGGCGCGCAGCACTGGTGGCGCTGCAAGGTGGTGCATGAACCCATCCACCGACCCCACTCCGTACCCAACCTGCCTCTCTGCTCCCGCCCACCCTCCCCCACTCTCACCTTCCCTCTCCCCCTTTCCTCTCTCGCCCCTCGCTCTCCCAACCTGTCCTTTCTCGCCCTTCCAACCCATGGCAACCCCCTCGGCCCGACCAGGATCCGCGGTTCAACCCGGCGCTCTCAGCGTCGTACGCCACCATCCCCTGTGCGCACCCCCGCTGCCTCACACATGCCTGCTCGCCCACGGGGCTGTGCACGTACCACGGCGTGTACGCCGAGGCCAGCTCCACGCGCGGCCTCCTCGCCTCCGACCTCCTCTCCTTCGCCCCGCCCCCCCTCTCCCCATCCGCGCCACACCCTGCTGCTGCACAGCCCCACGTGCCAGCAGCGGGGGTGCACGAGGCGCGCTCACCTTCCCTGCCTACACCTCCTGCCGCCGCAGCTGCGCCTCTCAACGCCTCTCGGGCGTCGTCCTCCTCTCTGCCAGCGGCAGCAGCAGGGCGGGCGGGCGAGAGAGTGCTGCTGGCGGGCACAGCGGAGGTGGGGGTGGGCAGTGGAGAGGGCGGCGTGGGAGAAGCATGGGTGGGTGAGGGGGCGGGGGGTGAAGGGGGAGGAGGCGAGGGAGAGGGCGGGTCACGGGTGGCAGAGCAGGCTGTACCGGATGGCCCCCGACTCGTCTTCGGGTGAGCTCACCCCCCTCTCTTGCTGCCCTCGTGCTTTCTCAACGCTCCCACCCCACACACCACCACTGCCTCCCTCCCCCTCCTCCACGCTCCACAGAAGAGCGTCCGCACCCACCTCGCCCACACATGCCGTGTGTGGGAGAGCTTCCACCAGTCCCCATGCTGCCAACCCCGTGTCCCCATGCTGCCAACCCCGTGTCCCCATGCTGCCAACCCCGTGTCCCCATGCTGCCAACCCCGTGTCCCCATGCTGCCAACCCCGTGTCCCCCTGTCCCCCACGTGTGGGGTGCACACGAGGGACCCCTTTGTGCCCCTGCTTCCCCTCGCAAATGCACCCCCGTTCCCTGCAAGTCCCCGCCGCTACCTGCAAGTCCCCGCCGCTACCTGCAAGTCCCCTCCGCGCTACCTGCAAGTCCCCTCCGCGCTACCTGCAAGTCCCCTCCGCGCTACCTGCAAGTCCCCTCCGCGCTACCTGCAAGTCCCCTCCGCGCTACCTGCAAGTCCCCTCCGCGCTACCTGCAAGTCCCCTCCGCGCTACCTGCAAGTCCCTGACGTTTTTGCGGCCCGCCTCCCACACCGTGCGACCTTTGTCCTGCACCGTCCCCCCTGGCAGGTGTGAGCTGCAGGAGACGGGCGACCTGTACCTGCAGCGCGCGGACGGCATCGTGGGGTTGGGGCGGGACGCGCTGTCGCTGCCCAACCAGCTCGTGCGCGCCGGGGTCATGCACGACGACGTCTTCTCCCTCTGCTTCGCCGCCCCCGCTCGCCCCGCTCCTGCCCCCTCTGCTGCTGCTGATGCTGCTGTTGAGCATGCGGCTGATGGGTCGAATGCGAGCAGTCATGGTGGCGGGCAGGGGGAGCAGGCAGGCACGGCGCATGAGCAGGGGGGAGGGCAGGGCGAAGGGGGAGAGGAAGGGGGGATTGTAGATGCGGAGGGGGAGGGGGGCGAGCTGATTCTGGGGCGCGTGGAGGAGCTGCCCGGCACCGTGTGGACGCCCCTGCTGCCCTCCGCCAGGTGGGTGCTGCTGCCCTCCACCAGGTGGGTGCTGCTGCCCTCCGCCAGGTGGGTGCTGCTGCTGGCCGTGTGGCCTAAGGGACACGTCGGTAACACTCCCTGAACCCCTGCCATTCGTCTTCCCTTGCGCCACCATTCTTGTCCCAACCCAGCCGCCTCATCTCTCACCATTGCTTGCTGTCCAAAACAGGCAAGTGACTTTGTTCCCCCTGTGCACTGCCCTGCCATCCGCCCTGGCCACTTTACAGTGAGACGCCGTACTACATAGTGAGTGTGGAGGAGATGGTGGTGGGGCAGCAACGCGTGGCGGTGGCGGCAGCGGTGTGGGAGGAGGGGCCGTACGGGGGGGTGATGCTGGACAGCGGCACCACCTTCTCCTATCTGCCCTCCCCCGCCTTCCACGCCTTCCACGCCCTCGTCAGTGCCCTGCCCACCACAACTTCATTCCCTGCCGCTCTCCACCTCACCCCCACTCCTGCTCTCACCCCCACTCCTGCTCTCACCCCCACTCCTGCTCTCACCCCCACTCCTGCTCTCACCCCCACTCCTGCTCTCACCCCCACTCCTGCTCTCACCCCCACTCCTGCTCTCACCCCCACTCCTACTCTCACCCCCACTCCTGCTCTCACTCCCACCACCATTCTGACTCACTCTCTCCACACGCACACTGCCTGCCACTATGCGACAGGGTGTGCCAATGCTCCATGCTCCTGCCACCACTGCCTCACACCCACCCTCCCATCTCTCTCGCCCCGCATGCCGCCCTTGCCCTGCTGCATCGCTGTGCCCATCAGGTGCGGGCGGCCGTGCCTCTCCCCCAGGTGCCGGGCCCTGATGCGCGCTACTCCGACATCTGCTTCGCCAATGTCTCCGCGTGAGCCCCCCCTCACGCGACTCCCCACCTTGTGCTTGCACGCGTCGTTGCCCCATTCCACTGCACTGCCGCTCCTGCTACACGCTGCTGCACTGCACGCCACTCCGCTCACTGCATGCACAGCACAGCACAGCACAGCACAGCACATCACATCACAGCACAGCACAGCACAGCACAGCACAGCACATCACATCACAGCACAGCACAGCACAGCACAGCACAGCACAGCACCGAACAGCACAGCACCGCAAGAGCCTTCTATGTATTTTACTTCATCCAACCCTTCCTTCATCACCCCGCCAGAACACCCAATCCAATCTCTTCCCTACCTCCTCTGCCGTGCCCTTCCCCCTCTCCCCAATCTCCTCTCCCCCCCCTCCTTGTATCAGCGCGGGCGGCATGAACCGGCTGTTCCCATCGGCCACTGTAGTGTTTGGCAACGGAGCAGCGCTGCGCCTGCTGCCGCACAACTACCTCTTCAAGGTGCGCTGCTCCTCCTCGCTCCATGCTCTGCTTCCCCCATCCGCCCCTTCCTTTTCCCCTCTTCCCTCTTTCCCTTTCCCCGCCCTCCCCCTCTTTTCCCATTCCCACCTCGCTGCACCTCATGCGCACCTGCCACTTTCCCTCCACCTCCTCTCCTCTCTTCGCCCTCGCCTATCCTCTCTCTACCACTCGCACAACTGGCACCCTCCGCTTTCCCCTCCCTGCCACGTGAGCAGCACAAGAAGCATGAGGACGCGGTGTGTCTGGGCGTGTTTGACAACGGCAGTGGAGGGGCGCTTATCGGAGGTGAGAGGCAGAGGGAGCTGTGTGAGAGGCAGAGGGAGCTGTGTGAGAGGCAGAGGGAGCTGTGTGAGAGGTAGAGGGAGCTGTGTGAGAGGTGTCCAGGCGCCTCTAAGAGGCCAAGTGGCGACTTGGTGAAGCCTTATGGCAAACCATGGTGTGTTGCACATGGCATGGCATGGCATGGCGCAATGGTGGTGTTTGCATTCTTTGTGTTGCGTGTGGAGCGGCAGAGGGATGTGTCCGTATTCTTAGCCATGCATGCGAGGCATGAGTGCACGGCTGTAGCACGGACGCACAGCAACCAGCTGCCATGAGCGCCGAGCTCAAGGCTCAAGGGTAGTGGCACTGTGGTGTTTCATGGGTGGCCCCGGCTAAGCTCGCTCGGGCCAAAAAGGCACACCACACATCGCAACTTGTGCAACCACTGTGCTTCCACCTCTCTGCGTGCACTGCTGCTGTTCGCTTGACTCATGTCCTTGCATTTGTGGTGTCCTTTCTTCATTCCACGTGGCACGAATGCATGGCACCAGGAGTGGCGGTGAGGGGCATGCGAGTGACGTATGACAGGGAGCACCACCGCATCGGCTTCGCCCCACACAACTGCCCTTTGCGCCCCTCCCCTCCTCCTCCTGCTGCTGCTGCCTCGTCGCCCTCCCTCGCCCACAGCCCTCAAGCCCCACCACTCGCAGCCTCTCCTTCCGCTGCTGCTCATGCTCCTCCCCGCCCCTCCTCTGCGGAGGCTACTGCCGTGCCCGACCAGGGTGGCAGCCCAAGTAGTGAGAGCAGTGGCAGGGTGGGTGCCGGCAGTGCGAAAGCTGCCGGGAAGGCTGGAATTGGGGTGGGGAGCAGCAGTGGAGGGGAGGACACAGAGGAGGGAGGGGAGGGGGACGAGCGAGTGGAGGGTAATGGAGGGCGGGGCGAGGATGAGGAGAAGGCGCAGGCGGTGGGTGGAGGGCTGGAGGGAGCGGAGATGAGAGGGGCAGTTGATGCAAACAGCACGGCTCTGGAAGGGGCGTGGGCGGGTAACGAGGAGCAGTGGTGGTGGGATGCAGTGAGTCGCAGTGTGCTGCTGGGAGGCGGGGCAGGCGGTGGTGGGGAGGGCAGGGCGGAGCTGGCGTCATGGAATGTGAGCGAGGAGTTGGAGGGCAGTGGGAAGGTGGAGGAGGAGGAGGTGGTGGGGGGGGAAGGGGAGCATGAGGAAGAGGGTGAGGAGGAGAGTGAGGGGAGCGAAGGTGGAGGTAGTGGTGGCAGCAGTGATGGTGGCAGCAGCGATGGTGGCAGCAGCGATGGTGGAACGGACGTAGTCCTTGCTGCAGCGCAGCAGCACCTGCTCACACGTGCCGGCCAATGGTCGTCGTGCACGCACACCCCCGTGAGCATCGTGAAGGAGGCTTCCAGGAAGTACACCACCATCCGGTGGTGCTGCACAGGCAGGGGCGGGCAGCGCGTGCTGTGGGACGCGGAGGAGGCGGTGAGGGGCGCAGTGACGCCCGCGGGTGACAGCGAGGCAGACGGGGGAATGGCGCACGGGAGGGCGGAGGGGGCGGGGCGAACAGGTGGAGACGGGGATGGGGGCGAGCAGGATGGTGTGGCGGCGTCAGGTGCAGGGGTGGAGGGGGGCGAGCAGAGGGGCGCAGCAGAGTGGAGCGGTGGGAGTGACGGGCAGCACAGCCAGAGTCATAGCCACACGCACCTGCTGCTGCACCTCGTCTTCTCTGCCCGCCATCCACCCCTGCTGCCGCCACTCCCACCCAGCACCTCTGCCCCCTCCGCTTCCGCAGCACCGCTCTCACTCCCGCCGTCTGTCTCCACCACCCCGCCGCTCCCCACCGTCCTGCCAGCGCTGCTGCCAGCGGTGGCTGCCGTCCTCCTCGTGCGCCCCACCCGGATGGCACTGGCCGCCTTCTCCTCCTCCACGCTGCTGCTGCCCTCCCCGCCGCGCCCAGAGGGGGAGGATGGCCACGGCCGCGGGAGCACGGGTGATGCGCACGACAGTCAGCAGCAGCAGAGGCAGAGGCACTTCACCACGGCGTCCCTCACCATCGACTGCCCCTCGCCACGCGCCCACCGCACAGCGCCGGCACGCACCTGCTCCCACGAGGCACAGCGCCTGGCACGGCTGGTGCGGGCGGGGCGGTGCCAGGGCGTGGGGGAGCGCGTGCAGAGAGCCATGCGGGGAGAGGGGGCGGTGGGGAAGGCAGGCAGTGGTGACTCGCCCGTGCTGCTGCGCTGCTCCCTGCACACGCTGCCGCCCGCTGCTGCTGCGTCCACCCGCTCCCCACCTGACCATGGCGGCACTCCTGCCCTCTCTGACTCGCCTCTCGCTACTTCCTCACACGCTGCTGCCGCCCTGGCTCATGAGCAATGGCAGGCAGAGTATGGGCACGAGGAGAGCCGTGTGGGAGGGGCAGCAGCAGGGGTGAGAGGTGCAGGCGAGGGGCAGATGGGCAGGGTGGGGAAGGGAGAAGCGGATGGAGGGGAGGAAGGGGGGGATGGGATGGTGGGAGAGATGGTGAAGTCAGTGCTTGGGGGGGCGGCAATGCACGCAAGGCAGCAGCAGAGCGTGCATGAGGGCTCTGATGTGGCTGTCATGCGCTCCATCACCCTCACTCTTAGGTTGCTGCTCATGCCATGCCTCCCTGCTTCCCATCACACACATGCACACACATGCACTCAAGCCCACTCAATTACTCACAGCCGTATTCCCGTTTGTTACTTGTATCCTGCAAGAACCTGTCACGCTTTAATTGCCTCCGATTCCGTTGCCTTTTCTCGCCCTCTTAACTTTCTCTGCTCGCCCTCTCCTCCCATGCCTGCACGGCCGGCCTGCAGGGAGGAGCAGGGAGCCGCAGCCACGGCTGCCACTGGAGCAACGCCCCCAACACCATCAGCGGTGGCAGCAGCTGTGGTCCCGGCGGTAGTGCGCATGCAGGAGGAGCAGCGGCTGCAGTGGGCGGCGCTGGTGGTGGTGTATGCGCTGGTGGCGGTGTGCCTCGCTCTCATCCTCCGCCTGCAGTTCCGCCGAGGGGCCTTTGCCATCGCCATCACCACCGTTGCTGCCGCTGCTGCTACTGCAGGGGGGATGTCTGCTGCACGGCCCCACCAGCTGTGCTCGCACTCGCCCTATGGGACCTGCTCGTGCCCTGTGGCAAAGCGCGCTGTGGACCGCTGCCACGTGTAGACTGCTTGCATTGCCATCCTACTGAAAGTATCACAACCCCAAGGGGAGGGGTTGTGACTAGGGCTGCGCAATGTCATGCCTGGAATGCCCACCATTGTATTTATCCATGTGTACAAAGGAGCATTCTACTTGATTTGTTTGCCAGCATGGTAAGGTACTTCCATGCTCTGGTACCGCACATGCCATCCCCCCCACACACTGCGCAGAACCGACCAGAACCCACACCGTGCACCAACCAGCCATGCAGGGCACGTTGCAGCCAAAGAATCGCACTCCAGGAAGAGTGCGCAATATGAACACCTGTGATATACCGTTTGGCCCCGGATATTAGAGCATATGCGCTTATAATAAATTCATTGTTTTAGGGGGGGGGGGGGGGGGGGGGGGGGGGGGGGGGGGAGGGGGCGCACGTAATTGAGTAACGGCCATAAGCGCCGGCGCTCTTATAATGGCAATTATGAATTTTAATTTTAAGGATACCAAACTGAAGCCCCCAATAAGGCGAATACAACACCGTACCATGCGCGTGGGGGCCAGGATCCTTGTTATCAGACCAAATTGGTCTGATGGTCTGAAAATCAGACCTACTTTTTCTATTTCATCTGATTTTGAAGACAAGCAATTTTAGTTCGCCTGATCCATAAGACCAGAAATTTTATTTCGTCTGGAAAATCATACTCGGCGTTATACTTCATCTGAGAAATCAGATATTGTGTACGTTTTCGTCTGACACCAAAGTACCGAGTGCTTCCCTCTTCCCCCTACCCCCCACGCGCTTCAGCCTCCCAAGACCCGAATTCCCTCGCTCCTCCCAACTACCTCGAATTCCCTCCCGCCCCGCCACAATCTCCTAAATCAGCACACGTGCCCCTTCCCCCCCTGTCCGTCTCGTACGTAGCCCAAATCCCCCACTCCCCTGTCTCTCGCAGGCCAACACCTGCCCCACTGCCCCATACCCGCTCTCGCGCGTCGCAGCCCAAACCTATTTCGGTTGTGTCGCTCTGTCTGATACAAGTAAAACAGAACACAATTTGAAAAAACAAAAACAGACCACTATTATTTCATCTGAAATTTCAGACATGGCTTTTTCCTTCGTCTTAAAAACCAGACCAGAAAAAAATTCCCTGTCTGAACGTCAGACGAAACCTTTTTTTGGTATATACTTTTCAGACGGGCTTAAATCCTAGCAAGAGCCCTGGTGGGGGCGTGCATGGAATCACAGCAAAACTTTGCCGCGATTCGATTCCCCACCGCACAAAACCCGTCCCGGAGCAACGCACCTGCCACCGCTGACGCAATACCTGCCGTGCGGCCCAATCAGGTTGTCATGCGCTGCCAGGCAGGAGCTGTCAAATTATATGTATGATATATATGGTTAGGCTGTAGTGGGGTAGCCAATATGGGGTACAGCCCCGTTTAGGGTTTCATACTTATACCCAATTATATACACACGGGTGACGTCATCACATGCCGCCCCGCCCGCCCTGGCACAAAGGGAATTGAGGCAAAACGAAAAAACCCGCGGAATCCCTCCGGGCCCCCAGAAATTCCCGGCAGACCAGGCCAAAAAACCCTCCGAAACCCGCGGGTTCAATGTCGTATTCTTATGACAATATATATGTCAGCCGTAACAGTAGAAATTGAAGGAACTCAACGGGAGACAATGTCAGAGTATTATAGCTGATGCATGTTTGTAGGCTATAGTGGGGTAGCACATATGGGGTACAACTTTCTAGGGTTGTATTTGTACCCAACTCTGACTTAGTCATTCATCCCTGTTCACTTGTTTCACATGGTATAGAGCGGGTCCTTCCTTAGGACCGTTTTTTTAGGGCCCACCGAAGCGCGCCCCGAGGCGCGCCTTTTTTTTTAGCGACCCCTCGGGTCGCCATTTCCCTCGCGGCCCCGCTGTCCCTCAGACGCGGCCCCGCCACCCCTCCTGATCGCGGCCCCGCCGCCTGCTTGGCGCGGCCCCGCCGCCGGCTCTGACGCGGCCCTGCCGCCCGCTTCGTCGCGGCCCCGCCGCCTGCTTGACGCGGCCCCGCCGCCTCCACTGACGCGGCCCCGCCGCCGGCTCTGACGCGGCCCTGCCGCCCGCTTCGTCGCGGCCCCGCCGCCTGCTTGACGCGGCCCCGCCGCCTCCACTGACGCGGCCCCACCGCCGGCTCCGCCGCTGCACCCTACGGCCCGCCGCTGCACCCTACGGCCCGCCGCCTCACCTGACGGCCCCGCCGCTGCACCTGCCGGCCCGCCGCTGCACCTGCCGGCCCGCCGCTGCACCCAGCGGCCCGCCGCTTCACCTGACGGCCCCGCCGCTGCACCTGCCGGCCCGCCGCTGCACCCTACGGCCCGCCGCTGCACCCTACGGCCCGCCGCCCCACCTGGTCGGCCCGCCGCTGCACCCTACGGCCCCGCCGCTGCACCTGCCGGCCCGCCGCTGCACCGGTCGACCCGCCGCTGCACCTGACGGCCCCGCCCCTGCATCTCCCGGCCGAGCCGCCCCAGCAGCAGAGCCGCCCCAGCAGCCGAACCGCCCGGGAGCCGAGCCGCCCAACGCCGAGCCGCCCGGGACCCGAGCCGCCTTGCCGCCGAGCCGCCCGGGAGCCGAGCCGCCCTGCACCCGAGCCGCCCTGCCGCCGAGCCGCCCGGGAGCCGAGCCGCCCTGCGCCCGAGCCGCCCAGCCGCCGAGCCGCCCGGGAGCCGAGCCGCTGTGCACCCGAGCCGCCCGGTCGCTGAGCCGCCTTTCTGCAGAGCTGCACGACCTGCCCTGCCTGGTGAGCACAGTCCCACTGACACTGCGAGCTCTTTCCCTACTGCTTGCACTGCGTCGCTGTCGTCGCCATGGCTACCCCTAGTGTCCTAGCTTTTGACGCTGAGGGTCGCGCCATTGATTTTGAGGTCTGGTTAGACGACCTGCAGCTGTTCTTACAGTGCGACAGGGCTGACGACCTTTCTCTCTTTGACCTCACCTCTGGCGCCTCTCCTGCTCTTGCTGCTGATGCTGATCCCACTGTCCGCTCTCAGTGGGCCACCCGCGATGCTGCTGCACGTCTTGCTGTGCGTCGCCACCTCCCTACCTCTGAGCGTGCGCACTTTAGTCAGTACAAGAGTGCTCAGACCTTGTACGACGCTGTAGTTGCGCGCTACTCCTCCCCTGCCACTGCTGCACTGAGCCGTCTCATGCTTCCCTACCTCTTTCCTGACCTCTCTGCCTTTCCCACTGTTGCTGACCTCATTACGCACCTCCGCACTAGTGACACTCGCTACCGCGCCGCCCTTCCTGCTGAGTTCTGCGCTAAGAACCCACCCCCCATGTACATCGCTCTCTACTACGTAGTCGCGCGCCTCCCTGACTCCCTTCGCGTCGTCAGGGACCACTTTCTCGCAGTCTGTCCCACCACCCTCACCGTCGACCTCCTCGAGAAGGCCCTCCTCGCAGCGGAGAAGAGCATAGTCGCTGTAGGTGCTTCTCGTGGTGACCCTCGCACCCCCATCTTTGAGGGGTGCTCTCCTTCCCCCTTGCTGCCCTCTGTTGCCTCTGCTGCTGCTGCCGACCTGCTTGGTCTTGAGTCGGTCGGCGCGGCGTCTACCCCTAGTGGGAGACGTCGCTCCAGCAAGGGCAAGGGGGGCAAGGGCGCGGGTGGAGCTGGAGGGGGCGGTGGCGGTGGCGGCGGTGGCGGCGGAGGGAGTGGGGGTGGCGGCGGGACTAGTGGCGGGGGTGGTGGTGGTGGTGGCAGCAGCGGCGGAGACGGTGGTGGTGGTGCCAGCGGTGGTGGTGGAGGCAGCGGCGGAGGTGGAGGCGGCGGAGGTGGAGGCGGCAGCGGAGGAGGCGGTGGTGGTGGAGGAGGTGGAGCTGGTCGAGGTGGTACCCAGCAGCGTAGCGGCGGTGGTGGTGGCCAGCGCTCGCAGCGGCAGCAGCAGCAGCGCTCGCGGGACATCCCTCCGCCTCAGCAGCTTCGTGAGTGGTACGCTGGGCGTCAGAGGGGTGGGGGTACTGGTCCCTGCACCTACGTTCTTCGTTCCGGCGACCGCGCGGGTGAGCAGTGTGGGGGTGCCCACGCCACCCAGCGCTGCTTTGGCCGCCTGACGGACGCTTGGCGTCAGCAGTTCCCTGGGGCTAGTGAGATCCCTCGCTGGGATGAGCTTCTAAGGGCTGGTGTAGCGATCTTTGATCTTGATTTTGATGCTATCCTTGCTGCTATGTATGCTGTGGATTATAGTGAGGAGAATGAGGGTTACCGGTGTTTCCAGCCCGACCCGGGCATTGGTACTGCTGCGCTAGGTGCTTGTGAGGCTGCTGCTCTAGGTGCCAGTGCGTCTGTGCTCTCAGGTACTGGTGAGACTGCGCTCTCAGGTACTGCGTCGTCCTCGTCCTCCCTCACTTTCACACTTCACTCCAGGGCTTCTCGCTCCTTCTTTCGAGACCGCACTACCCTTACGCCGCTCGGTCGGCCGGTTGCGGTCTCCCTTGCTGACCCCTCTGGGGGTCCTGTCCTGTCTCACTTCTCCACTGTCCTCCCGTGTCCGGCTGCCCCTTCGGGCACCCTGTCTGGTCTGTACCTTCCCTCGTTCTCTACGAACTTGGTGAGTGGAGCGGACCTGCAGGATGTGGGGGTTCACCAGTTCACTCCTGCGAGTCAGCGGGTGACCCACTGCACGGAGGCACGCACAGGCCGACACCTGGCCACGTTCTCGCGTCGGCCGGGGTCGAGTCTCTACACCCTGACCGTTGAGTCTCCTCCTGTCCCTGCGTCTGGTCAGGTGGCTGCATCGGGTCAGGTGCTTGCTGCTGCGTCCCGGTCAGGTCCTGAGTCTGCCCCCTGTTCTTGTCGCCTCCTGTCTCACGAGACTCTCCTGTGGCACCACCGTCTTGGCCACCCCTCCTTGCCCCGTCTTCGGAGCATGGCTTCCCGTGTCCTTGTCTCTGGTCTTCCCCAGTCTCTCCCTCCTCTCCCCTCTGGGCCAGGACCTTCCTGTGTCCCCTGTGTCGAGGGTCGCCT